GGAATTCAAAATTAATGTAATTTGTAAGTAATTGTAAGTAATTTGTGTGTGTGCGTGTGTTTGTTTGTTTCTACACTGAGAGGGAAGGGGGTAGGAGAGGCAGGGAGGGCAGCCCGCCAGCTTTCTTTCTGTGTGTCGGGCAGCTTTTGGCCGCCCCGCCTCTATGTCGGACATAGCGTCGGGGTTGGCTAAAAGCCTCTCTTTTTCTTTTTGCCTCACCAGCCATAAACCTCACTGCACGTCACTGGAGGGCATGCACTCCTTTTCCTACTGCCTGACTTTTCTGATTGTATAGCAAAAATGTAAAGAAGAGGTAGAAAATTAGCCCCAAGTGTTTCTCACCATTTGCTCTGTTACATGGGGCTGTTGGGTGTAATTATGTCCTTGACTTAACTACAGTTCATTTAGTGACTGTTCAAAATTACAGCAGCACTGAAAAACGATTTATGACCATTTTTCACCCTTAACAACCATTACAGCATCTGCACGGTCACCCGATTAAACTTCAGGCACTGGGCAACGGACTGATATTTATGATGGTTACAGTGTCCCTGGGTCATGTGATCACCTTTTGTGACCTTCTAAGAAGCAAAATCAATGGGGAAGCCAGGTTCAATGAACAACCGGATTACTAATTTATCAACTGCAGTCATTCACTTAACAAAAGAAAAGTCTTAAAATGGGGCAAAATTCACTTAACTGTCTTGCTTAGTAAAAAAAAAAATTGGGCTAGATTGTAGTTTTAAATTGAGGACTATCTGTACTCAACAGTGCTTAAAAACCACTGGTTTGCTAGCAGTGTTGTTGCAATAGAGAAAGAGAATTCTCTGCAGGAATGGCTGTTCATTTCATTTTACTTCTCACTATTATCAGTGGGGTGAGATTTCAGCAACAGGCTTAGGGCCAATGTCAAATTATTCCTGTTAGCTTGTGGGTAAATCCTATTAATGGAACTATGTTCAAGTTTAGAATTGCATCCTTAAACGTTTTTGTGTAATTTGAATTTGAACAAAGTATGTGTGATTGTTCTGGTTGTCCCAATTTGATTTTCTGTAAATCACTGGTGTGAATATATTCAGATCTTGTTTCCCTCTTAAGAATCACAGACTTCTAGATTCTCAAATGTGTTCTCTTACCTATGCTCTTACTTCTGTTTGTCTCCCAGGTGCAGGCTATAACAGATGGCAGTCGCAGAAATATTGCATCAGTATGTATAATTTATGCATCTTTACTGTAGAAAGATTTTTTTGTGAAAAACCATACTCTGTTCCATGTTACAGCATTCCCCAATATGTTGGAACAGGTTCCATAGCAATTGTTTTAGATGGTCAGGCTGGGACCTGTGTAAATATCATGTTGCACTGGACCATAAGGAATGTGGTTTTCAATATTGAATGAAAATCCTCCTCTTCATTCAAAGTTAAAAACTACATATTCAATATTTTTAGAGGTTTTTTTTAGAACTGTTAGGCATTAGGAATATGTATAGTAGGAACCTTTTTCAAATTGCCCAGTCATGTAATCTGATAGCTAAATTAATTAGCAAGAACAAATAATGAACAATACTGTAAAAGATTTTCCCAATCTTTCATTTTTTTAAAGGTGCTTATTTAATTCTTTTTTCACTTAAAGTCAATCTTTCATGGTCCCTTTTGTCTTTGAATGAAACTTGGATATCTCTGCAATCCCGAGTGATATTGCTTCCTAAAATAAAACCCTGCGGTTTGTTATGGTTTATTTTAGGACATAAAAATTGTAAATGCTTTTGTCTGAATTCAGTATTTTATGAATATATTTTATAATGTTTTTACTTAGGAGAGAGACTGTTTTGGAAAGGTAATGCAAAAACGATAGTAGCAAAATGATTCACAGTTGCTATGATGCTTAATTTTACATTTTCCAATATTAAAGTAGGCATTTTTCTTTTCTCTCTCTTCCACCTTGGGCTGTTCCTGTCACATCATCTACAGCAACAGAGTATTGTAAGTAATTTTCCTACCTCATCTTTACATGGAAAAATTGAAAGAGCCGGCCAAGGGCTAAAGGCTGTCTCCTTTAGTTGCTGAATATCTAACAGAATTGTAAATCCCTATCCTGGAAAATCCTGGACAAAGGAAATGGTTAATTTTATATTTTTATTAAAAATGCTGTTGCTGGTTCAGACCTGATGGCAGAGGTCCATTGTCAAAAATCTTTTCCTATGCTTTTCTATGTGGGTTACTCCCAGGAATCCAAATATAGCACAGAGATTGGGTCTTATTCCTTTTTTTTTTTTAATTGAAAATTTTGAAAAAAAAACCTTTTACAAATATTTACCTCCCTCCCCCTCCCCAAACAACCCCCCCAACCTCCCCCCCCTCCCGACTTCCCAGAACCAATACAGGGTGTAAATCTTTAACAAAGATATTCTAAGATAAACTTAAAA